TGGGGAATACTGCTGCCTTCACAAAACTAAATCTGCCAACTTTAAAAAATAGCCCATCTCGTGCTTTGAGCCTGTCACGCAGCTTGCTATAGAACCAGAGAGCTGAGGGTCATCAGACCATCCACCGTGACCTCCTGCATAGCACAGGCCAGAGAATGTGGCCCATTTATCCCTGCACTGAGCCCCATCTCTTGCATTTGGCTAAAGCATCTTCTGGGAAGGCCTCCAGGCTGGTTTTGAAGCCACCAAGAGAAAGAGAATCCACTAGCAGTCTGTTCCGATGGCTAACCACCCTCGCTGTTAAAGTCGTACCTTGTTTCTAGTCAGAACGTGTCTGCCTTCAGCACCAAGCCTTTGGTTCCAGTTATGCCTATTCTCTGCTCAAAGAGCAGCTAGTGTTTTCTTCTAGGGATGTACTGATACGTTGTCACCAAGACCCCATCCTGATTGATCTTCTACTCCATAAGCTAAACACATGGAGCTCTTTCAGTCTCTCATTCTCAGGCATTTTCTCCCACCCTCAAAGCTTTTCTGCGGCTCTTCCTGGCACCCTCTCCAATTTTTCAGCATCCTGGGAGCTCTCATTACGAGTGAAATGGGGCCAGAGAGACTGAGATGAGAGTGAGAAAGCCCAGGTGGCAAGGAAAGGCAGGCCCTGCAGTAGCCCTCAGCAGCTATGGGGTCTGGGGTGACAGGGCCAGGAAGAAGGAAGAGAATGGAAGAGGTTCCCTATAACACATTTGGCGCAGGGCGCTGGGTACGGGAGGCGCAGGGTGAAAAGGTGACTGGTTCTGGGGCTGTGCATGGCAGAAACTGAGAAATGGCCACGGTGAAGGAGCCCAGAATGGGAAGGTGACACTGATTCACTGGCCCCGATGATCCCCACAGCCCCAGGGACTAGCAGAAAGGGCGAGCGCAGCAGCAATCCCGCTTTCTTTGTGAGGGAAGCTCCAGTGAGGAGGCCGCATGGAGATCCCTGGGGACTGACAGCCTCTTTATGATGAGATAACTGGCTCTGTGGATGAGGGGAAAGCAGTGGACATGTTATTCCTTGACTTTAGCAAAGCTTTTGATACTGTCTCCCACAGTATTCTTGCCAGCAAATTAAAGAAGTATGGGCTGGGTGAATGGACTATAAGGTGGATAGAAAGCTGGCTAGATCGTCGGGCTCAACGGGTAGTGATCAATGGCTCCATGTCTAGTTGGCAGCCAGTTTCAAGAGGAGTGCCCCAAGGGTCGGTCCTGGGGCTGGTTTTGTTCAATATCTTCATTAATAATCTGGAGGATGTCATGGACTGTAGGGGCATTGCCGGCAGATCAAGGGACGTAATCATTCCCCTCTATTCGACACTGGTGAGGCCCCATCTGGAGTACTGTGTCCAGTTTTGGGCCCCATCTGGAGTACTGTGTCCAGTTTTGGGCCCCACACTACAAGAAGGATGTGGAAAAATTAGAAAGAATCCAGCGGAGGGCAACAAAAATGATTAGGAGTCTGGAGCACATGACTTATGAGGAGAAGCTGAGGGAACTGGGATTGTTTAGGCTGCAGAAGAGAAGAATGAGGGGGGATTTGATAGCTGCTTTCAACTACCTGAAAGGAGGTTCCAAAGAGGATGGATCTAGACTGTTCTCAGAGGTAGCAGATGACAGAACAAGGAGTAATGGTCTCAAGTTGTAGTGGGGGAGATTTAGGTTGGCTATTAGGAAAAACTTTTTCACTAGGAGGGTGGTGAAGCACTGGAATGGGTTACCTAGGGAGGTGGTGGAATCTCCATCCTTAGAGGTTTTTAAGGCCCAGCTTGACAAAGCCCTGGCTGGGATGATTTAGCTGGAGATTGGTCCTGCTTTGAGCAGAGGGTTGGACTAGATCACCTCCTGAGGTCCCTTCCAACTCTGATATTCTATGATTCTGTGTAGCCGACTGGCTACCCAGCCCACCAGTGTGCCCCCACCCCGCCACACACTGCCTCACCCCTTCCCCCTGCTCCCCTGCCTCCCGGACAAAATATCTCACCCCTGCCATGGAGAGACGCCCCCTACAGGCATGTGAAAGAAATACAGTCTCTATCCCACCCGTAAGGCCAGATCCCTAGCTGGGGGCAATTGGCCATAGCTCCATTGGAGCCAATTGGCTGGACCTCCAGTTGGGGTAAAGCAGTGGTCGCTCCATGGGAGTCAATGAAGCAATGTCAATTTCCACCAGCCAAGGAGCTGACCCTTTAAGTCTCTCTGCCACCTTAGCGCCAAGGATAGTGGCTGTTTTGTAGGGTGACCAGATGTCCCGATTTTATAGGGACAGTCCCGATTTTTGGGTCTTTTTCTTATATAGGCTCCTATTACCCCTCACCCCCATCCCTATTTTTCACATTTGCTGTCTGGTCACCCTACTGTTTTGTGGCACTGCAGCCTGGGCGAACTTACTCCTCGTGTGGGAGGAAGACAGTCACAGCGTAGCCACCAAAGTGGGTGACTGTGCCTCATCTTCCCAGGGAGCATGGGCACCATTGGCGGGAGGGGGAGAAGGGACTTCTCACCTGGATTCCTGTGGTGTTCCTGTCTATGTGTTAACTACATATCTCACACAGATGGGCATTAA